AGCAACGTCCGCTGACCTGAACAGTTCACCAAGCTGCCCTGGTGTGCAGGGGCCCAGAAAACTTCTTTTTCCTTGTTACAAGACCAAAGTGATCCAGGAGCTGTTTCGTGTCATCTCTGATTTCAGTTTTAAGAACCACTTTCAAAATCCTAAATTTTTTAGACAACAAAAATTTTGATAGATGGAACAATCAGGTATTTGAAATGAAAAGTCTGAAGCAACAGGATCTGTCCAATGTGAAATATATCACCTTTTTCCCTTTCTTTTTCCCTGTGCATCAAGAAATCCCCTGCTTTCACTCACTTTTAAAGTGCATTTTAACCCTTTCTTTCAGGGAAAGGAAGAAAACATCAGCTGTTCTCTCCGGGACCCTGGGGTTATCTCTGCTCTTCATGTAGCCAGACGCTGATTCCCTCCTGAAGGACTCCAGGACTGAGATGCAGCTCCAGGTTAAACATGGGTGCCTCTGTGGTGGCATCTCCTTGTGCCGGCGGTGGGTGTCTCTCTGCAAGGGTCCCCACCGGCACAGGGCATCCCAGACCCCGGCAGCTGGTGGCAACGCAGGGCTCAGCTTGGTTGCCCCCCCTCGGCGCTGAGTCCCATTCCAGAGGTCCTCAGCATCTGCCTGGCCATGTCCTGCACGCTGACCCCGTAGCCCAGCATGGCTGCTGCTGGTCACGGGCTTTGTACCGAGTTTGCGAGTTCTCAGGATGGAGGTGTGCCAGGTTTGCCCTCTTTGAACTTCTCCTGACCTGCCTGGAGCTTTGTTTTTACCAGATTTAGCAGTAACGGCGATTTTTATTCTGACTGTGGCTATGGCTTTTTTGCTTACCACTGCATGGTGCAACCATAGCTTCAGTTTTACACAGAGAGTACCAAAAAGGAGCTATTCTGTGCCGAGTGAGGTATTTATGGCTTCAACACAACAGCGCACCACTGAGAAACACGTCTCTGGCAGGATGGCAGGGGCCTTGGGAAGTGGGGACAGGGAAGGCAGTATAGAGGGGTGCAGGCATGAGGTGATAAGAGATGGGGCACAGGCTGGCACTGGAGACCTCATGGCTATAAACAACTCAGGAATGGTCAGTTAAAGAAATCAAGCTCAGAGCTGGACAAAAATGTTTTGGGGGGGTGACAAAGAGAGCAAAAACCAAGTATCTGACATGCATAAAATTCACTGTATTTAGGCAATCTGCATGTATCGTGGACTTGCAGACCAATGAAGAGAAAGCAAGGTGTAAATCGTGTTGCCAGACACAAAAAAAGACACAAAGTGGACTCTCCAACGGGGAAGAAGCAGCAATGGACATCAATATCATACTCCTCCCTGTGAAAGACTCCAGATTTTGATGACTTGATGTAACAGCCACCACCACCACCAAACTGAAGTTACCAACCTTAGGACCCAGAAAGGCAGTGAAAGGGTGAGCAGGACCCCAGGGAAGAGGTAGAACCTGACCAGTGTGCGTGTAACAACCCTAACTTATTATTATTGTTGTTGTTGTTATTACTACTACTATTACTACTTCTTTTTCTGTAGAGAAATACTAATTTCCTTCTTTTTTTCTGTAATAACTGGATCTGGACTAACAATGATTCTTGTATCAGCCTGCTTTCAATTACACTAACCATTAATTCTCAGCTTTATGCACAAAGTGCATTTGCTTTTTGCCCATAAAGAAGGTTCTGATCGTAACAACGCACATAGCCCTTTGTTGCAGCGGCAGTGAGAAGCCACGTGGGACACCATCAGGCACCTCCGATGAGATCTGTGACCCCCAGTGGCCCTAAGCGACAATGAGCAGGCAAGTGCCTTGAGCTCCTGTCTAACGCAGACCCCGGGGTGCCCAGAGGTGCTCAGCACGCCCTAAAGCAGTTACGCAGCAGCTGCTCACCCAAATCTGACTCCGGGGAAGAAGCATCCAAAGCAATTCAACCCCAGACCCTGGAGACAGGCTGCACAAGGCAACTCAGCTGGATGCAGCAAGTGCGGGTGCACCCAGCCACCCACCCGTCCCAGTAAGTACGAGGATACAGGCAGGACCACAGCGAGAGGGAGGGAGTTTCCCCGTGTTCTGCACTGTCACGTGTACAACTGCCCCCTGCAAGGACAAGGTCTACACATTCACACGGGACACCTTAAAGGGCTTTCTGGAGAGATCAGGGATCTGCACAGCCGCGAACACGGGATCTGCACAGGAAAAGGCCGCAGAAAATGTGATAAAGGGCTAAATCCACAGGCACGTGGGTAAGTACGCCGTGTGGGCAAAGGGGCGGTATGGCTCTTCTAACGCACAGACAAGACTCCCTAACATATCACAAGTCCTCCAAGGGCTGGAAGGAATTCTGGCTGGGACAGATCCAGGTGACAGAGTTTACCTGGATTCCCGAGGGCTCTGAGCAAGGTCCCCACCGAAGGTCATCAGATAAGCAGCCATGAAATGACAGCAAAGCTCCACACACCACTGAATAACGGAATCAAAAAATAAAGGTGCATGGCTACCAACTGAATCAAAAAATAAAGGTGCGTGGCTACCCTTTACTGTGAACTCCTATAGGAATCTGTACTGCGATTTCTGCTTTTCAGTGAATTTTGCCTGGGAAAGGGAGGGGGAAACAGCAAGGCAACCAAGTTTCTGATGGTATGAAATTACTCCAGGAACAGTAGGACCAGACGTGAAAATCTGCAGAAGACCCTGATAAGACTGAGTCACTGGAAAATAAAACAAGAGATTAAAAAAAAAAAAAGCAGCTGAGATAAACATACCACGATGCATTTGGGGAAAACACGGAACACTTTCGATAGATAGAAAATGACAGGCTGGTGGCTAACAACTATCTCTCAGGAACAAGCTGTCACAGTTATGAGAGCGTTACATCAACACAGTTCAGTGATCAGCAGCTCCAAAAACAAACTAGATATTAGAAATTCCTAGGCAGGACCAGAAAAGGAGGCCAGGACAGCATTGTGCATCTGAAATACTGCTGCAGTCCCGATGCCTCGGGGAGCAAAACACTCGTCATGGGAAATGAGTGAGCGGACCGTGGCTTCGGTTGGAAGGAGGCAAGGGAGGGGAGATATGACAGAGGGTGGCAAAGGTTCAAAGATGAGTGGGGGAAGATCTGCTCATTGTCACTTCCAACGCGAGAAGAAATTAAAACAGCACGCGTCTGGTTCGGGACGAACACGCAGAGGTCTCTCCTGATGCAGCACGTCACTGGACTAACGACTAAATCACTAAAGCAGAGTCTCCTAGAGCCTCAAGTGATAGTGCATCACATTTAGGAAGACAAGCTCCTCAGGCCAGTGGGTTCATCACCAAAAAGTCAGTGGTGTGATTGAAGAACAGAGCAAAACAGCCCCCAAACCTGCGCTGTTCCAGGAGGAAGGCTCTGCCCTTTGCTGAGGGTGAGGGCCTTGGGAGCAAGCCCTGGCTTTTAGCTTCAACTATTGGTCTCAGGTTTTACAACAAGGTGCACTATTTCCCCTCATCAGCTGGCATCTATTTTTTGTGTTGGGAGTTATCGTTCTTCCTTCAGAGAGAAAGGCACCTTTTCCTGCATGTCTTTTCTTTTGTGACGAGCATTATCCCTTTTGTACTGATTTTTAGTGCCTGGGTCTGTCCCTCCTTGGCCATTTTTGTCTCATGCAACAGTGCAAATCAAAACTGCCTGGTATAAGGCAGAGGAGAAAGCGCTTGTTATGAACAGCCAAGGCTGATAAGGAAAAAAAAAAAAAAAACAAAACAAAAAAACCCACACTGGATTATTTCCCAGGCAGGAGGGTATTACTGGCAAGAGACTGGACAAGCTGGTTATTACCAGAACAACGGCTTCTAAGGTAAAGAATGCTGGCAGAAGTTAAACCTTATATTAGGAAGGTACTTTCAAGTGCTAGCACCTGTGTTAGAAGGCTTTCCTATTAAAGCTGGCCCCAGGAAGCTGCTGTGCTGAGTGTTTTCAAGCTGTTACAGAGAGTTTGGAAGCTGGTAAGGTTAAGAACTTGTGGGTTTTAGGGTGGTTTACTGGCTTTATAGCTATGATGCCTGTTAGCTACTTCCTAGTCCTTAGGTTTATGGGTCTGCTTCCTTAGCTCTGTAACTGCTGTCTTTTGTGCTGTTTTATGCTCTTGTAATGCTGTGAGTGGCTTGTCTTGCTCTTGTGTTTTGCAAAAGGCTTCTTAGAAGGTGATTGTTTTAGACCCTTATGCTGCATTGACAAGGAACATGCGGGGCTACAGTGGTCTGTTTCTTTCTTGTTTGGTTTGGGGTGGGGGGTGTTCTTGTTGTTTTGGGGTCTGTTTGGGTTTTGGGGGTTTTTTAGTAAATTATATATAAATAACTACAAAGGTCTTATCAGCCTCCAGGTGGGCAGAGGAGGTTACGGCATGATTATGTGAAGTGTCTGTTACTGCTCAAGTCAGGTCTCCTTTGGACCTGGACTTCAGATGTGGGTCTCTGAAGACCCAGATGCAGACAAAGCAAAGAAAATGCCTCCTGCTCTGAACATGCTCCTGAAAACAAGGGGGGCCTCCTGCAGGTCGTGGTCCACGCAAAATGGGCCGGTGCATTTAACCATCTCCTCTGACCCACTAGCTCAAGAGATCCCTGAACGAGCACTGTCTGGTTGCAGAAGGTTTGGGAGCTGAAAGCTTTGGGCTGCAACAGTGGGGTGGCTTGATGCAGAAGGACCCCAATTTGAATGGGTCTTGCGTAGCATCCGCTTTCCAGACAGAGATGTTTGACTGTTGAACAGCCCAAGCGCTAAAAGGGTGGTTTGTCCGATGCAGCGCTGTCCAGAGGATAACGTAGCTGACCTCACAGCCTTGCCTGGGGCTGCAGTTGTGTCTTTGGTGCTGCTGATGGTCTGCTGGTGTGTCCTCAGGCCCCCCACAGCACCTCATTTACTGCTGCTTGTGGCAAACCCCCTCCCGTGCTGTCCCCTTTCCGTACAGCTGCGTCACCTCCCAGCTCCCGGATCCATCTGGGCTGGCCGTAGGGATGGGAGTGGGGCAGGCGCTGCTTGTGCTGTTGGCTGCCTGCACGGTGCTGCCGGAGAAGGACCCGTTGCTGAACGTCTGCATGGATGCCAAACACCACAAAACCAAGCCTGGCCCAGAGGGGACACTGTATGACCAGGTATGACTGCTGATGGGCTAGGTGGGATTATCTGGGGGGTCCCCCATACCTCCCTCCACAGATGACGTGGGCTGATTTGTGCTTTGGGCTTAGCAACCACATGCTTGAGGAAGAAAGGCTGTGCTGGGTATGAGGCCTGCTTGCTTGAAAGGCTGCCCTTCTTCTAGCAAAGGGCTAGGGCAGATGCAGTGGTGTGAGAATTTCTGTCAGCTCAGTGTCACCCCTCTTGAAGCAGGAGACCTCCCCTTCCCAAAGCTTAGGTACCCCAGATCAGAACAAGGTAAAGGACAGCAAGGAAAGACACTCTTCTCTGCTCCCTCTCTCAGTGCTGGAGACTCTTCTTGCTACTTGAAGAGCTCTGCCCCCAAGTAATTGATGGAGATGGGGCTAAGAGCAAACCAAGGGAAGGGAGTTTGTTTCTATTCCTCAGGCTGGCACTAATTCCTGGTGAGGGTCTGACCTCGTCCTGCTCTTCCTCAGATTCTACCTTGCGGCAGCCCTGAACTCTGCAGTCCAAAGTGCCCAAGGGTTTGCTGGAGGAGGGAAAATCCTCCGGCTGCTGAAGGTTTCTTGCTGTAGGCTATGCAGGGAGCTGGCACCTTCAGCTTCCTCTGACTCCCTCCAGCTTCTGCCTGCCCTCCCTGACCAGCCTGTCTCTGTTGCAGTGTGCTCCCTGGAAGGACAATGCCTGCTGCACAGCCAACACCAGTTCAGAAGCCCACAAGGACCAATCCAGCCTGTACAACTTCAACTGGAACCATTGTGGGGTGATGCCATCCAAGTGCAAGCGCCACTTCATCCAGGACATGTGCTTGTACGAGTGCTCACCCAACTTGGGGCCCTGGATTGACCAGGTAGGATCAGACTTGCTGTGATTTAAGACAAGAGGGCTTGTGCTGGCTACATGATATGTTATATACTGGTCCCCCCTACGGTACACCCCCGGCATGGATGGGAGTGCACTTTGCAGGGACAGTGCAAGCTTTCCTCCTGGGTTTAAACACTTCAAGGACTTTGCTAGCCTCTGCTTTGGTCAGGCTGATGGAAGAACTGCTTGTTGTCAAGGCATGCCTCTGCTGGGGCTGAAACTCTTCCGAGATCAGCTCTGGAGCCCAAGGGAAGGGGCTGAGGGGGGACTCTGGGACATGGCAGATCCTGCCTCTTGGCTTTCAAGGGCCACCACCAGCGTGCACGATCCCGCTCCCTTGCAGGTTGACAGCAGCTGGCGTCGGGAGAGGATTCTTCACGTGCCACTCTGCAAAGAGGACTGCGAGGAGTGGTGGGAGGATTGCAAAGACTACGTCACCTGCAAAGAGAACTGGCACAAGGGCTGGAACTGGGCAACAGGTTGGTGGGCTCTGGGGCAAGCCCCTCCTCACCCCTGCAGGCAAGCCCCTGGCAGTGTCACCGCTGCCTGCCCGGCGGCTGGAGCACAGGCCCCCAGTCGCTCTTGCCTGTCCGTGGGGTTGCTGACTAGAAGGTGGCCAAGCCACCGTCCATCAGCTAAGATGCAGCCATGGGTGGTGGCCTGCTCGACACGAGCGAAGTGTGCCATCCCGTGTGGCTGTCTTTCTCTTGTGGTGCTGTCTGTCCTCAGGAACGAACCGCTGTCCTTGGGGCTCCATGTGCAGACCCTTCAGCCACGTCTTCCCCCGGCCGAAAGACCTGTGTGAGAAAATCTGGTCCAACTCCTACAAATACACCACAGAGCATCGGGGCAGCGGACGCTGCATCCAGATGTGGTTTGACCCTGCCCAGGGAAACCCCAACGTGGTTGTGGCGAAGTACTACGCTTGGAAAAAGAGATCCTCCCCTGCTAGGATGGAAGGTGTGACTCCTGAGACCGACAAAGCTGTGTGTGCTCTGCCATGGCCCATCCTGGTCCTGCTGCCTCTGGCCCTTGTGGTGGTCGCTGAGGGCTGTGGGGGCTCCCTGTGACTGCCTGCCGAAGGGATCACGGCCTGGACTCCTCCAGCTGCTCTACAAGAGGAGCTGGCATAGGTCTGGCTGTTCAAACTGGTCACACGCCCCCCAGCAAGTGCTCCGCATGAGTTATGCGGTTGGACCTCGATACCTGCCTCTGCTTTCTGCTGCCAACAAAGGCAGTTATTTCCTTGCCATCCTAGGAAGGGCAACGCTATCTTTGCTCTGATGTAGGAGCTCCTTCTTATCTGTTCCCACCCTGTGGCTATGTGCTGGGTTGGCAGCTCTTGTTCAAGGTCCTGGGCTGAGCTCTGGTGTCTGGTCCTTCAGACTGTTCTAACTCCCTGAAGGGTGGGGAATGATAATAAAATATTTCTCTGAATTAGCCTGGCTGTGCTGAAATTAAGTACTTTTGAGGAGGTGGAAGAGCTCTGGGGGTGGAACAAGGCTGCTGGGCTGGGTTGGGGGGTGGTGGTGGGTGTGGGGATCTGTACCTGTAGGAGTCTGCCTGGGGGTGCAGGAAGGATGTAGCTTCCCGGGTCCTGATGGCTCCTATGACCTGGTTTGGGCTGTATTATCTGTGTTGCTTCACAACTTTATCTTCCCCTGGGGGCAATCTTTCCCAATCTCCCACGTGGCACTTGCAGGTGTCATAAGTAGCTGTGCAAAGGTTTGCTGACATGTATTTTTTGGGTGGCTTTTTTTTTCCTCCTTAGAAGTGAAAACAAGCCTCTAGCAAAACTTTAACTTTTGAAAGGAGGGGTAAAGGGGACAGCAATGGGGAAATGCATGGAGTCTGCTCATGTTAGTCAGAGTCCACAGCTGTCTGCTCTGCTGAGCTTTATAGTACTTCAAATACTTTCAGGAGTCTTCAGATCAAAGCAGTTATTCCCAGAAGCTTTTCTAGTTTATTGGATTTCTAAAATGCTTCTAATGATACAACCTCTGCTGTAGCTGGTTACTTATTCCCTGACTTTACATGAAACTCAAAAGCACTTTTTTTTTTCCTCTATTCCCTAACTTCAACGTGTTGCCTGCGAAAGCTGAAGCTATAGGACTGACCCTGGCTTAAAGTCAAGAATGTCTTCTGGCCTATGTGTGGGGTATGGGTTTGCCCTGCATGACCCAGGCAGGGATGGAGAAGAGGCAACACCTGGAGCTGATTCCTGTGACAGCAACCTCCATAAAGGACAAAAATAAAACCACTCTAAAGGCAAAGCTGCTTGGGTCTAAGGAAAATCCCATGTGATCAGCTCCTGCTGTCCCCAGGCTTGTGGTCTGTGCAGGTTCTGGTCAGCTCTGCCACTGTTTCTAAGTAATGCCCACATCCTTGTCTCTCAGAAGCATCTTGGGATCCCCTTCAGGGCTGGTGTGAAGCCCTCCAGCCCCACACCACTGTGGAAACCCTGCTGGCAGGCCTGTGCCTGGAGGGGGAGGTCCGGCCTCACAGTCTGCAGCTATTTAGAGTTTTATCCTTTGAAAGTTGCTTTGGGATTAGCAATGCAGCGATGGTTCTCGTTGCAGACCCTTGCTCCCTGGGCATTTCGACGGTTCTGTTGGCATTGTTCCCGTGCTTGGCAGGGGTAAGATCATTTTGCCTGTAGCAAGTTACCGCATGAGATCTGGGCAAACTGCTCTGCAGCTACAATTAGTTCCTCTTTCCTTCTTCTTCCAGGAAGAGGATCATCTTGCTAAGACTTCCAACAGCAGCATCATTGTTCTTGCTTTCTGAGATAGTAAAAAACTTGAGGGTGTAGCCTGTGAGGTAGATAAAGAGGCTCTTCCTTAAAGCACCCTGTAGAGATGTTCTGCAGGGTGTACGTGGTGCAGTGTGATGTTATGAAACAGCAATGGCTTGCAAGCCCTTGGTGTTAATCCTGACTGGCACTGCTGGGACGGAAGATGGCTGTGGTTTGCTCTCTCCATCCCATTTTCTCCTGCTTATTTTCTGTAGCTTGTGGGGAGCTGCACAACCCTGTCTGTTGCCAGGACTGACTTAAGCCTCCGTTAGCCCCTGCAGCAATCCCTATCTGTGCTGTCATGGCCAGTTTGGGTTTGTTGATAAAATAACAACAGTAATGAGTGTTCGGTGGTTTCATGCCAGGCAGTTTAGTCTTGATGCTTGGTTTGCTCAATCTATTTTAATTCATTCCTTCCCCTTCTTGGAGTCCTCTGTGCTTCCAGCCATCACCTTTGGTCACTACATGGTCACCTACTACCTGTTGAGATACTCCTCCTCCTCCACGCTCACCGGTGTCAGGATAGGCAGGATCATGCTGGAGTCCTGGGCTGGTCCGTCAAGCACTCCTCCACTTCTGGAATTAAGGTTACCACTACTGTCTGCAGCAGGACCTGACCGAGCTGGGGTGTGTAGACATCATGTTCAATAACAGGTATGACTTTGCTGTAGCTGTTCTCTTTCTGACTTTTGACCTCATCTTCCTTTTCATGCCATCTATTGCTAGGGCCATCCTGAGCATCGCATACCAGGGGGAGCATCTCAGGGCTTTGAACAACGGCCTGTCCTGAATCCTGGCAGTCCTGATCCTGGTTGACTTGTCAGTGGTTCACCAGTATGGCCAGCGTGCCTCCCATCTCATTCACATCATCACGGACAATGTCTATCTGCTGCTGTCCCCCCTGTTGTCCCCCCCATGCCGAACCCCATCATCTAGAGCATAAAAACTAAATGGATCCACGGGATCTCAGCTCTGCCTGAGATGGAGAGAGCAACATCTGACTGAGGGAGGAGACGAGCAGATGGGAAGGCTGCAGGCTAGAGGCAGCTCACCTCTGTCATCACTTCAGCATTGGGGATCTTTTGGATGGGGACTTCTGGCCAAAGCAGCGAGCAGGAGGGTGAGGGGTTGGTCTGGGATCTGGATCGGAGGGACCAGGAGTCTGGGAACCCGGTATAGGAGAGACCGAGTGTTGGGAGCAGCTTCCAGAGAGGCGTGCTCTCATGGGGTCCCTGAGCTGCTGTCCGTAGAAAAAAGGTCTGAGCAATTCTCGCTGTCAGTGTGGGTCCACCCCAGCCCACCGCGTCGGGGAACCCTGAACACAGCCACCAAACAAGCTCTGAAAATCCCAGCCTGGAAAAATCCCTGAGCCAGTGGTCAGGCTCGAGTGGTGCAGTGTTTTGACAGTGAGTTCAGGTGAAAAGGGAAGGAAAAAAAAAAAGCCCATTCAAGGCAGTAAGACCATGACTCAGAGGGGAGGAGCTGGGCAGCAAACGGGTGTTGGGATGAGATGGACGGGGGGGGAGTTGAGAAATAGGGGCTGCTTTTGTACACAGACTCCCTTGGAAATGTCAAGCTATTCAAGGAAATGCCAGTGCAGCGGAGATGTCAAAGGAAGGTTTGCCGAGGGCGAGGGGAAGATGAAAGGGCAGCGAGCAGCACTCTGAGCGGTGTGGGTGGAGGTCCTGGGGCAGGGGGAGCCGCGCTGCTGGTGTCCCCTGGGCATCGTCCTGCCGCGAGCAGACGTCCCTCTTGCCTCTGCCTGCAGGTGAGCCGCTGGGGCAGAGCTGGAAAAACCTGGCTGAAATAACCAGGTGAATTTCTGGGGCGTGGAAGAAGGTCAGTGAATCCGTGTGGGAGGTTTGCGCAGCTTTCTGAAAGATGGGGTGACCGCTGGAGCCCTTGCAGGGCAACAGATTCTGAGGGTTGAGTATTCTCAGTGATTTCTCCCAGTTCTGATCAGTTTTCATCCCAGAAGTGATGGGTTTAGTGCAGGTGGAAGCTGCACGCCCAGGCTGTCCAGGAAAAGGTGCACAGGCTGAGGAACGTCGTGCCCAAACCGATGGGTTGAAAAGGAGAAGGCGGCTGGGCTGCAAAAGGCTGCTGTGACCCAGGCCGCTGGATGAGCAATGTCTTGGGGATGTTGTTGGAGCTGAGGATGAGACCAGCAGCACAGAGGGGCTGATGCCCACAGCCCTGGGCAGGCTGTGCCCCGCAGAGATCGCCTGGTGGCAGCCGGGACTGCGGCGTGCTGGAGGGGATGTGGAGCTGGAGGTGGGCAGCTGCACACGGAGAGGAGGCAGAACTTGGTGGCAAAATGAAGAGAAACTGTTTGGTCTCAAAATACTTTTCTCTCCCCTGTGATACTTGACTTCTGCCCAGGGCTTATGACTTTGCCCAAACAGCAGCTCTATAGGAATATTACATTACGTACAGGAATATTAAATTTCCCATGGTGTCCATGGTAATTATTTCAAGGAGAGAAGCAGTGCCACTGAACAGAACTACAACTTTTAAAAGATCTTTATTCTGCAGGGGGGGTTATTTGCTTTTGTAGGTTGGTTGGTTGGTTGGTTTTTGCAGCTGAAAGCACTAGACTTCAGCAAAATGGACTTGGTGAAACTGAGGTAGCCATATCTCATGAGGAAAATGTCTAAGAGAACATTTTTCAGGAAGCTATGCAGTTCCTTACTGCAGATGCAATAAAAAGAGCTTTTTTTTTTTTTTTTTTTTCAAACCCCAGCAACAGAATGAATAACCAAGAAGGGCACTAAGAACCATCATGCATAAATCACCACCCTTGCAGCGGTTCTGAGCATGATAAAAGTGGAAGTGCTGCCTACTCTATTTCTATTTTGAAAAAGTAATATTAAAAATCCCTGCAGATTAATATCACGCCAGACTAACCAGGGGAAAAAAAAAAAAAACAGAAATAAGCGTTTGAGCTTGGTCAAACCAGTAACAGTTTACAGAAAAGACATAGCAAGAGCATAGAAAGCGAAAACAGGAAGGAAAGGGAAGGCAAAAAGTAATTTGCATTTATTTAGACACATAGGTTAATGTAAGGATTGATTTGTTATTCACATTCTGGGGAAGTATATTAAATGATGAATGATATGAACACACATGGCGCTTTTTTTAATTATAACTTATTTTTCTCTGAAAGAGAAGCTAGCATCAGCAGCAAAGTAAGAAATCAGAGGAAACGGGGAAAAAATTAAAAAATTAAGAAAACAGACAACTTTCAACTAGAAGGGCAGTGAAAGGGCAGGGTGG